GCCTCCTGTACACATCCTACACGCCAGCAGCCGCAGCCCCTCACTGGCCTGGAAACAGGTGTACCCAGCAGGGCTGAGCAGGGAGAGGCCTGAGGCCCAAGTAGAAAAAAAAAAGAAACAGCATCTGCCGGGGCCTCCAAGGAGCTCTGGGAAGCCCCCTCACTGACACACAGCCCACCGCCTTGGCCCCTTCCCACACACGCAAAATCTCATCCAAAAAGCGCCTCCCTCTCTCCTCCCCACGTACCTGCACTGTCTTTACACGCCCCTCTTTTCTCTTCTCGTGTACCATCTTGTCTCCTTACCCACCCTCCCCTCTTCCCCCCTGACGGAGCCCCCATCCCCTCCCACATCCTCTCCTGCTATTTCACTTCTCCGGGCCTTGTTCCTCCCGCAAACGCCAGGGAGAGCTGGCAAGAGGCCTGTCCAGAGACCCCCTGAGCCAGAGGATCAACTTTCCATGCCTCACAACAAACCCTGGAAAGACAAGTGTAGGGTGTCTGTGACATGAGTGAGCCCACCTCTCTCAGGACCACCCAGGTCCAAGGATGGCTCTGGCACTAACTAGCTGCCAACCCACGGTCAAACCTCCTCCCTCCGGCCCCAGTTTATCCTGTGGAAAGTGAGCCCACGTGTGTGAGGTTTCCTGCAACTGCAGGGTGAAGCCGGGGGAGCCCTCGCGGGAGTTCAGAGGAGGGGGGCGCACAAAGCACCCCCAACCTGGTCCAGCGAGCCCTCCTCAGCTTCCTCCCCGCCACCATCCCGGAACCCACGGCCCGACGCGGCTGGGTCCCCTGGCGCTGCCCACCCATCACGGGGGGCGGGGTTGTTTACCGGCGCCGGCTTCCGCCTGCCCACCGCCTGCCCACCGCCTCGGTCTCCAGGCTGGCCGAGGGAGGACGGCCGCCCGCCGCCCCCTAGTGGCCGCCGCGGGTACCGCCGGCTGGGAGGAGGCGGAGGCGGCAGGGCGGGGGGCGGCTCACAGCGCCCCCGCAGGGCAGGAGCACGCCTGCCGGCCGCTGCGCTCCACACCCAGGGACCCGAGGCTGGCGGCAGAGCTGGCCGGGCCAGGGCTCCCAGGTAGAGACCAGCTGTTACGTGCTCTTCTGGCCGAGGCTGGCCCCATCACTCACCACATGGAGTGGCCCAGGTACTCGTCGTAGTAGTAGAGCAGCTCAAAGGAATCGATCTGGGGGCGGCAGGGCATGGCCGGTTAGAGCGGGAGGCGCTCGGAGCAGTGCTGGGGCCCCGGCCCTCCAGCCACCCTCCCCTACGCCCCGGCCTCCCCGCAACTGCCCTCCTTCCCCACCCTCAGGGTCCTGCCCTCTACTAGAGGGGGTCCAGGTGGGATCCAGTCAATGTGCCACTTTCTAATAACACACGAGTGTCCTAGCTTGGCGGGGTGGCAGGGCCCTCACCTAGCAGAATGCCTTCAGCAGAAGGTCAAGCTCAGTGATGGGCTGGGGTCATCTCTCCGGCCCCCAGGACAGGCTGTGCCCACAGCGCTTACGTGCAGTGGGGGGAGGCGGCCTCACCAGCGTCTCCGGCTTGAGATTCTTCATGATCGGGTTCTCGCGGACCGACAGGTGGTGCTGGTAGCCACTGAAGAGCAGGCGGTGGTTCACGGAGTCGCCCACCAGGTGGATGCTGGCGCCCATGATGAAGGTGATGATGCTGACGTAGATCATGGAGCGCGGCAGGGTGCGGGGGGACCGCTCGATGAGCTGAGGTCAGAGGGAGGCCTGGCAGCATGACCGCGGCATCCATCACCGTACCAGACACCTCCTGTATCCCACCCTCACTCTTGGGTGGGACGGACACCCCCAGCTGGGAAGTCACTCACAAATCAGTGGGTCCCTTTAGCAGCCCAGCCCAGCCTTCAGAGTCTCCCAGGGCCCCTGTGAGCGGAGCTCAGGCTGGGGAACAACAGCCCCTTTTCCCAGAGAGGATACAGGCTCAAAGGGCCAGCTCATTGCTCAAGGTCACACACAGGCCACGTGCTGGAGGTGACAGCCAGGCCTTCGACACAGGCATCCAGGCTCCAGGCCCCACCCTCCCATCGCCCCTCATTGTCCCCCAGTTGTGCCCTGGGAGGCTGGGCTGGCCTGCTGAAGGGCCCTCTGACTTCTGAGCGATTGGTTCACGGCAAACACAGAAAATGACAGGGATGGGCGGCTGTTTCTGAAACTAAATTATTTAACTAAAAACTCCTCTGAATTCCGAAATTATACATTTCCTACTTTTGGAGATTTGAAATGTCTTTCTAAAAACAAAATGATGGGGATAGTAGATGGCCACAGTTGTTTTAAGAGCCCTTATTGGCAAAGTGCAAAGCTGGCAGCCCTGGCTAGCTCTGTGCTCCCAGTGGCATCTCAAAGTCAGGGATCTCCAGGCCAGAGGATAGAGGTCACCCTCCATTGCTGCCATTCCTGCCACCTGGCCCCCACCTGCCTTCCCAACCGGTCCCTGACCTCTCCCTGGGTACCCCAGCCACTCCTTCTGCCTCGGCCTCCCCAGAGGTATTATGGCTTCTCAAGCATGGCCTTGTCTTCAGGTCCTTCTGCCTGAACACCTCTCCCTCCCACCCCACCCCCAGGACACCAGGCTGAGGCCCAAATCAAATGCCCCTCCTTGGGGAGGCCTTCTCCATCCCGCCTGTCCCCCAGGCCCTGATGTACCCCTCTCTCACAGCCTTCACCCCCAGAATCAGCAGGGAAAGCCCGAGGCAGGGCACTCGCCGGGCTTGGCACCAGCTCCCTGCCAGCCGGCGGAGGGAACAAGGGCAGGAGGGGACACTGTACCTTGAGCAGGAGAAAGGGCGTAATGATGTTGTAGGCCATGTGGAAGTAGTCCCCCACGCTCGGCTTGTTGAGCGGAAACCACTCGAGAGGGAACACCAGCTGGGGAGCAAGGGGAGGAATGGTGCTCACCAGGCACGGCCCGTGAGGCCCTCCACACACACTTCATTCTCTCTGTGATCTCTTGGAATCCTTTCCGCAGCCCTGGAGCGAAGGTGTTTCCAGACACACAAGCCGAGCCCCAGAGAAGATAAATGGACTTGTCCCCAGGCACAGTAGATGCCAATCCAGGGCCTACCCTGTGCCCTCTCCCTGTGGGCACTAAGTAAATGTCCCTGGGTACCAGCCTGTGAGTTGGAGGCTACCTTGGGACTCAGGTGTGCCACCAACTTCCTAGGTGACCCTGGGCAAGTCCTTCCCCTCTCTAGGCCTTGGTTCCCCCTCTGTAACACAAGAGGTGTGGTCTACATGGACCCTTAGGGATCTGGCACTCCAGGTCCTATGATGAAGACAAGATCCCCTGGCCACAGGAGGTTCGGATCCTGGGCACAGACTTACACACCACTCATCAAGCCATGCTGTGCCTGTGTCCCACAACAAAAAATAGAGGAAGATTAGCACAGATGTTAGCTCAGAGACAATCTTTCTCAAGCAAAAAGAGGAAGATGGGCAACAGATGTTAGCTAAGGGCCAATCTTCCTCACCAAAGGAAAAAAAAAATGTACTGAGGACTTATCACAAATGCTAGGCACTATTCTAGGTACTAGTTGTCACCTTGGCAAACTGTTTTCCAAAAGGGCTTTGCTAATTTGCATTATCACTAGCATGTACCCACCGCCTTCCTCGCAGCCTTGGCATAGTAGTATTTTCCTGGAGGTGAAGACTATAGGCTGACTTTGCATATTATATAAGATTCTGAGCCTCAGGTAATTTTTAGTGCCACCTGGTGAAACCATCCCCTTCCCTCTAAGGCTACTGCATGCATCAGTGTACAGTGTTGGCCTCTGTACACCTGGGAGAGCACCAAAGCCCTTCACTTGTGATAGACAGACAGAGAGATGGATGACAGAATGTGAAAAAAACTGAGTGAGGTACCACCATGCACCAAGTTGATAATTTTTGCATGTGGGTGGTAAAAATAACACTATCAACCACTGAAACTGACACCTTGTACATGCTAGTGATAATGCAAATTAGCCCTCTGTCTGGCTGGGTGATTTGGTTAAACCTGGATGTAGGATATAGGGGGCACAGTACTGACTGTTCAGGGCTACCAGTTCCCCCATGACAGTTGGGGCACAATTTGACTGTTCAGGCCCCCTAGTCTCCCCTGTTTGCTGGCAGTGCCTCACCGAGCACAGTCACAGAGCCAAAGGATCCGAGATCATCCAGGCCTACTTGTAGTTTACTCGTGGAGGAAGTGACTTGCCTAAGGTCGCTCAGTCAGTTACCCTCACTGCTGGTGGGGGCTCTGTCCACAGCTTCACACTCACCATGGCAATGGGGCGGCCAAAGTCCAGAACCCAGTTCTGCAGGGTGAAGTAGAACCAGAGGTCGAGGTGGAAGGGAGCCGTGCCGGCAGCCTCCTCAGCCTTGACGGAGCTGTGCCTGGGAAGAAACCAGAAGAGAGGGGTCAGCTCGTCTCTCCTCCCATGGGAACCTTCCCCCCGAGATGAGCCGCAGGGAGATCTGGGGACTTGGCAGCAGGAGGATACTTCTAGGAAAAGGATTTTGCAGGAAATATGGGGGTCTGGCCCTGCGGCCAAGGGAAGGGTGTCCTGGAAGTGGACTCCAGCTGCCCTGACCTTAGCTCCTCTGTGATTCAGGAAGGAAACTGCCAAACGGGTATAATACCAGTTGAGCTTTGTCATCGACAGAGTGAGGAGGTCAAACGGCAAACAGGATGCAAATGCAGCTGGAAAACATGAAACATGACGATGGGTGATAGTAGCTAAACTTGACTGACCATTTACTATATTCCACTATATTGCACTGCTACAGGTGTTTGCATGTATTATCTCATTTAACTCTTTTAATCCTCACAGAAACCCTTTGAGGTTGGAATATTACCCCCTTTTACAAGTAAAAAAAATCTGAGGCCCAAGATGTTAGGCACCTTGCCCAAAGTTACACAGCTAAATATAGGAACCTAGATGATTTGGCTCAGAGCTTATATTTTTTTTTAAAGATTTTTAAAATTTTTTTCCTTTTTTCTCCCCAAAGCCCCCCAGTACATAGTTGTATATTCTTCGTTGTGGGTCCTTCTAGTTGTGGCATGTGGGATGCCACCTCAGCGTGGTTTGATGAGCAGTGCCATGTCCGCGCCCAGGATTCGAACCAACGAAACAGTGGGCCACCTGCAGCAGAGTGCGCGAACTTAACCACTGGGCCACGGGGCCAGCCACCTTAGAGCTTATACTTTTAACCCAGATTCCATCATTGTGTGCAGTGATTGGTCCATGGGATAGGCATGCGACCTGAGCTGGACCAATCTGAGTCCTATAGGGAGATGTGCCTTAGAGACTATGAAATGTCAACTCTGGCCTTTGACGCTAAGAATTGAATAATTGGTGGGCTAGGAGGGTAGGACCCAGAGGAGCAGCGAATTCTTTCCAAGTTGGGGGTGGGGTGGGGGTGATGCAGATTCTAGTTCTGGCTTTATCGTCCTCTTGGACTTTGTGGCTTTGGAAAAGTCACTTCCCGTCTCTCCCATTCGAACATGTATTAACTCCCTGCTGTGAGCAGCGCACTGTGCAGGCAGGAACGGATGAACCCTGCTCTGGTAGGCCTTACATGGGGCCGGGGGGCGCAGCATTGGTCAGTGGTGTGATGGGGACAGTGTTGTGCCGGCAGAGACTTGGAGGGGGTCAGCCAAGGCTTCTGAAGGACGGACATCTTAGCTGTGACTTTGGACTTCAGTGCTGACAATGAAGTGTGAGCAGCAGTCCAGAGAACACAGAGCGGGTAAGGAAGAGGGTTCCAGGCAAAGGAAACAGCCAGCCAGGAGGCCCCGCGTCCAGAGAGACGCTGGTGTTTGGAGGGACGAAAAGATGTTCAGTGGTAGCAGCAGCGTGGAGGGAGGAAGAGCAGCAGAAGTTGACCTGGGGAAGGGACTGGTGCAGACAGGCGGCGCTGTATCCTTAGAACAATGGAAAGCAGGACAAGGGTGTTGGACAGGGGAGTGGCACCATCGTATTTGCATTTTAGACCTGGCCCCTTCGCAACTGGGGGTGGATGAGAGGAGGCAAGACTGCAGACAGGGAGGTGGGACACGTTGGGTGCCGTTGTTCTAGTGAGGCACCCAGACCGCTGTAGTGGCGGGGAAAGGAGCGAGTTGATGACATCAAGTGCTGTGTGGGAGGTGCTGTGGCTGGTACTTGGATGTTGGGGTGAGGGGAGAAGTGTTCAGGCAGTGCCAGGTTCTGCAGCTGGGTGGATGGTGGAGGTGCCCCTGGGAAGTGGGTTGGAGCAGGTTTAGGGTACCTGAGAATTCATCCTTGGACACATTAAGCTGGTGAGTCAGGAAGGCTATTGGACCCATGAATCTGAACCTTAGGCCAGACCTGGGAGCTGGGTGGACAGACTTGTGCATCACGGGAATATAGATGACAACCAGAACTTAAGAGGCTGTGTGGGGAGACAGCATCCCTGGGAGAAGAGAGAACAAGGGCAAAGCCCAAGCCTTGCATTGCGATCCTGGTACCATTGCTAATGAGCTGTGACACGTGGGTAAATTGCTCAACCCCTCTCAGCCTCAGTTTACTCATCAGTAACAAAGGGAAGCCCCTTGCATCTTCTGCGTTGGGAGGGTGATGAGTAAATGAAGTCATGCACAGGAAGCACGGAGCACAGGGCCTGGCACTGGTAGATTTGTTATTTACAATAGTCTGTCCCTGGGCCTGACGTTTCCCTCCATGATGTGAGGGGTTTGAGCTATGCCTATTCCATTCTGTTTTCTTCCCTGTCTTTTCTCTTGGGAGACGTTTATTGGGTTTATTCCTTCTCCTTTTGGACAGAACCCACATGTCCTGTCTTTGCCGTGGCTGGTGCCTGCGTCGGGGTCGTTTTCCATCAGCCCCATCCTGGGCTCCTGCAGCCCACAGGCCACTCCCCAGAGCTCATCCTGGCCCCACGAAAGGGCACGTTTACTGTACAGCTTTCTTTCTCTCGCTTGCTCCTCAACATGTCATAATCAGAGCAGGCGATGTCCCTGTTTTGCCGCAGAGAAGACCAATGTCCTGAGCTGAAGTAGTGTGCCCAGTGACAATCTCAGACTGAACCCCAGGTTTAATTTTGGTGAATCTGCTCTTCTATCTACAGATTGATCTATGTGTACACCAGAAAGAAGCATTGAGGCTGCCTGCTCTGACCCCAATCTCTCATTCCTTGCTGGCTTTGCAAGCCTGCTGGGCTCCCAAGGAAGGGGCGTGAGTGCCCACGGTGTAATCATGGATTTAACAACAGCCAGGGATGGGCTTCCAGCCATTAGAGGATGAGGCTGTGTGGAGGGACCCATTTAATCCTTCAATCCCTTAAATACCAACAAATCTGCCTCGTGTCTGGAGCTGGTAGCTGCCCCCTGAGTGGAGGGGAGCCCAGGCTGGCAGTGGGGCCAGGCCTTCCTGAATGAACATGATGAAAACTCCCCCAGCCTGGTGGGATTATCAGTCCCTCTCTTTCCTGTCCCATCAGGACTCTTCTTCGTTAGTTTTCAAATTGCATGGACATTTGGGGGTATGTGGGGTGGGGGGTAGGGCAAAGTTGGCACCAACTCATGGGCACTGAGGGGCACCCCTTTCTGGGGATCTTCTTGCAACTGTCCTGGGACGTGGTTCCCACACACGAGAAGAGCAAATGGCCTCCGCTTTCTGAGCTGCAATTTCAGTGAGCAGCATCAGGAACTTGTCAGCTGGAAGGTCCTTGGGGACTGTCCAGCCCGGTGGTTTCAAGTTTCCTTTTAGCAGACCTCACTCTTTTCACTTAGAGCTGTATTAATACTTTTTAATGCACCTACTAAGATCTTCTCAGCTACACCTGTCTTCCAGGGCTTTCTACTTCTGTCGTTCCAACACAAGCCAAGTGCATCCCCCCAAACTTATGGCCTCAGAAGTGCAGGAGGATCAGACACTCCATGGGGTCAACGTTTGACCAACAAGAGACAGGGCCTGGCAGATGCATTCTTTCTTCCTCTTTCTGGGTGGACTGTCCTAACTTCATACAGCCTCTTTAAGGAAGGTCCCACAAGATCTAGCATCGCTTGATGCTCATGGTGGCCAGCTCAGCAAAGCTCTCTTGTGTGCTCTCCCTCTCTCTGTCTCGACCCCTTTTCCCTCACTTCCGCTTCCTGGCGTTGTACTCCCCCATAAAGTGTTGGCACATACGCTTCTGCCTCAAGTTCTGTTCCTTAGGGAACCCAGGCTAAGACAACATCTTAGAAGAATGCTCAGTGTATAAAACAGATGCAGATGGGGCTTCTCTGAGTGAAGAGAAACAGGGCCCTGGGTGCCGTCTCTTTTTCCCCTATGCTTTCCAAGGCGATAAGCGAGGCCCCGCCACAAGGCTCCCTGGAAAGCCTTTGATCTCATCCATTCTGTCATTCTGCAGCTGAAGAAACTGAAGCCTGAAGTCACAGAGTGAGTTAGTCACAAAACCAGGACCAGCATCCAGTCTCCCTCCTAATCCACAAGACTGATCCTAATCTTTCTATCAAGTCAGCGTAAGAACTTTTGAAGAATTTTCTTTTCCCAAAACATCTTCCCACACTGGTCTGCCCCTGGAAGGCTCTGAAGGCCGCTGTTAGACTGTGACCACCACCTAGGAGGCATGACACACAGCCAGCTCAGAAGCTGGGACTCAAGAGGGCAGACAAAGAGGAAATGGACCTGGGCTGGGCAGGTATGCTTGAGGAAGGCAGGCAGGAAAGGCCTGACTTCGGGACCTCTGCATGTGAGAAACAGGGATTGCTTCTGGTTAGAAGGCTGCATGAGGACAGACCCCAGGGAAGAGTGGGAGACAGGCCTGGGGAAAGAGAGAGGAGCTGCAGAAGGAGATGGGGGCCAGCTTTCCCTGGCAGCGGGTGTCACCTGTCGGACACCCTTCTCCAGGCTGATGTTGTCCTTTAGGAAGCTGGGAGGTGACCAGAAGTCACACTGTCGGGAAAGAGACAGAAGGTGTTGGCCTCAAATTGCTTTCATTAATATTCTTGTGGTTGTGACTACTGGAAACAACTGGGGACAGGTTGATGACAAAAAGGGATTTTATATTATAAGGATACAGGGGCGTCTTAAGGAATCCAAGCAAAAGGATGTAACTGGGCCTTGGGGAACAGATGAGAACCAGGGTCTGGACTTAGAGAACCCAGAAAAATGCCTCTCTTAACTCTATTTCTCTTCCGTCCTTCTGTCTCCCTCAAGACTGGCTTTCCCTGCGTCCTAGAGAGCATGGCAGCTAAGGCCCTCAGCCAGCAGCTTCTAAGTCCACCTCTCTTCCAAGAGAGAAGCAGAGTGAGCCTGGACTCTGCTGGGCCCACTTCTGGTTCCCGCAGAGGGATTCGGGTTGGCCTGGCTTGAGGCCGGTGCTCACCCTGGGCCATCAGTGAAGCCTGGGGGCGGCCACAGTCCTGGCTGCTCCCTCTCTGACCAGACAGGCAAGAGGAGGAGAAGGGGCAGTTCACTACCTTGGGCTTGCACACTCGAACAAAAGCCCTGAGACAGGAGATTCTGTGCTCCTCTGCCACTCCTTCACGGAAGAGACCGCTCTCTTCTACATGTGGGTGTAAACTCAGACCTTGTCGAGAAGCCCGCCTGGCCCAGGGCGTCCAGAGCTGAATTGTTCTCAGCTAGCCCCTCCCCTCCCATCTGCTGCTGAGAGCTGAGAGGGTCCCAGGGCCTGCCACTGTCCTAATGTCACATCCCTAGCACTTAAGGGAACACTAGCAAG